GAGAGAGAGAGAGAGAGAGAGAGAGAGAGAGAGAGAGAGAGAGAGAGAGAGAGAGAGAGAGAGAGAGAGAGAGAGAGAGAGAGAGAGAGAGAGCGAGAGAGAGAGAGCGAGAGCGAGAGAGCGAGAGCGGCCACATCGTAGATTTAGGAGTTGATAGCATACACACATTTTGTCACACATGTTCGTTGTAACACACCTAGCGCGTTCCTCAGTAATCGCGGTTTGGCAAATTATCTCGGTCAACGAATCTGAAGCGCAGATTAAAGCACACGTTTTACTCTAAACCACTTTGTTTTACGCCATGGTGACTTCATGTGACGTTCGAAAAGGTGGTAGATACCGACTAGCGCGGATTATAGCGCACGATCAGACCGCACGCTGTTGGGATGAATGCGATCACACGGTTCAGCTCTAACTAAGCCAGTCGACCGTCGTAAGTGGGGAAACAATGCGCGCACAGCATTAGCTGCGGGTCAACGGATCAGGAAGTGCTCCACTGCCACCCATGCATGGCCGCGCCCACCGACTTTGTTTTTGCGCCAACGCACACGAGCGTTGCTTTTTGACAGCTATAGGTGATTAGAATGATTTTCCTCGCCGCAAGAACGACGAGACTGGGTCGATGAATGGGACACGATGAGAACTTTCGGTGTGCCGCAGTCAGACCTCTGTGCTTAATTACGCTTGCATGTATATACAATGTACTTTTGTTTCTGTTTTTCTTTCACTAGTATTGCAGAACGGAAATAATTTAAATAAAGGAATAACAGTTAGAAGCTAGTTAAATTAACTAGGTAATAAATGTATCTTATTATCTATTTAAATCAGCGATTAAAAATAACTAAATGAAGCTATGCCTGTCATCGTATGACTGCTAGCTGTTTTGTGATTGCTTTCTCTAGCCATTTACCATGTTCAGAGCATGAAACAACGGTTGTATATGTGAATTTATGTACTAAAGTACTAAAGCATGAAGAACGACATAAACACTCGCGAAGCGCACGTTGATAGCGCTTGTATTGCGGATATGTCAGGGAAATGCGCTAACGTTCATGCTCTAACGTACGAACATCATTGACACGGACAGACACCGTCTGCATAAAAACCAAGCAGATTCGCGTCTGCAGGAAAGTAACACCTATATTGCCTTTGTCATTCTACTTTCCTGGTATAAGGCAGGCCAGTTCTAACAATGGTAACACCCCGGGACGAGCTATCAAATGCACCAATATCGAAGCGGGTTAGCCAATGAGGGCTATGCTATTGACCATTGATCATTAGGTCAATTGATCATTTACTCATGATGATAATGGCCGGTACTCCGGCTTTGGGTTTATGTGCTGGTGGCACAATTTATTCTGATTTTGAAGCGATAGCTCTTGTTTGGATTTATATTCACCAAGGCCAATGCAGTTACTATATAAAGGGTCCGTCCCTGAGGAAATGTATCGTTGGTACACAAGGACGTAGGAGGGAACCCACCTTACCAACTGACCGTATAGAGTAGTTGAAGGTATGTATGCAGGATTGGAAACCTCAATATTTAATGTGATTTAATACTTAATAGAGCTAAATACTTAATAGTACTTAATAGTACTTAATAGATACTTAACGTTAAAATGTATTGTTAACTGTTTGTTGACTAAAATTTTTCAGAGTGCGCTGTGAATTATGTTGCAATGTAAGACTAAACACCTGACCAGGCTACTCATACTATTAGTAAGTGGTTGTCCATATATTACATTTTTTAACTGTTACAACGAATGTAAGACATTTTTGCTCATCTGACACAGAGAGATTAAACTTGTAGAATAGCAATGGTTTTCCTTCATCTGTCTCTTGTCCGTCAACGACACGGACACAAGTCTAAACGGCTTGACGTGTTGTGATGATATTCGGTATATATCATAGCACCCAGCACATATCCTGTTTATGCAATGCAGATGTGTTTTATACTATAACGCGACAACTTTGATTGTCATAATCGTGTGCACAGAAGTATAGTTACATGTTCAATATAAGATACATTCCATCTCCTCCTACTCCTAGATCCTTCCTAGATTCATAGATACTAGATAGATTCCTAGATCTTTCCTCTGCTTCCTAGATCTCCCCCTACTCTTGTCAACTATACGTCCTTACCTACTCCAACATCAGATCTCAGGTGAGTATATATCGCTTTGTGGCACCTAATTGTTATATTATTAAAACTGTTTATAGTTTATTATAAAACTTTCTTATAATAGGACAGCTAGGACCTGTTTGAAGTGTTTCAGTTTCTGCGTATGTTGGACCATTTTGTATCAAAAAGTGAATCAGGAAAAAATTTGATGAACGATGTTTAATATTGATACTACGACCGATGCGAATCTCCACTTCAGTGTAAAATTTGCTCGCCTTTGCACCGTATAGGGCATCGCGGCCGTGTTGATCGGAGCACGCTCCCGCTCTCGCCATCGCACGAGTTACGCTTCCATGGGATACGGTCACTCGTCACGTCGCGGCCCGAGTTACACGCCTCTCAACCGATACCACCCTCTCAAGCGCTCGCCGCTGAATAACAACCCCGGCGATCACGGCTACCCAGATAGGGCCGCCACCGTTCAGCAGGTGTGCGTGTTCACACCTTTGTACGGCTCGGGCTATCAGCCGTTCAGCGTGCTGAACCGTTACCATGGCACACACGGATCGCCGTTCAACGGAAACCCGGGCGATCACGCATTCCCCACTGGATTTTCTCTTCCATACGCGTAAGTAAGACCTTGATCGATTCACTCCGCCATCTGCCGTCTCAGGCCATAGTCTGAAAGTACTTTGAATGACTGGCCTAAGACTAATACCTCTCGGTGGTTTTGATATCAGTGGTAGCCGACATGTTATACATATATCACGCCGTTTCTTTATTTTGGCAGAATCTATATTGATAGACCTAGAACTCTATTCGTTACTGCTACACTACTACCAGTGGCGGAGCCAGGATTTTGAGATAGGGGCGCAACCGCGTAGCCAGGATTTTATTTTAGGGGGTGCGGATTTTGTGATAGCGCCGCTGCGCACGCATCGCGTGCCGAATAGCGGCAAACAAAAATAGAGGGTGGGGGCCTCTTGCGCCCCCCTTGGATCCGCCACTGACTACTACTCGTTTAAATTAATCTGGGCCTGTAGCAAGTTCTCTACGAACATGACACATATCATATGCCAAGTTGATTTCTAGGCCATCTGGATTGTCCTACTCAAGCGGATACGGAGGCGGCCATCGCGGTGGATACAATCCCATGATCCTCTACTGTGCCACTACTCCTGCTCCGTAGGAAGCGAGCACTCAGCGCGCGTTGTACCGATAGAAGCCAAATTTATTATTAAATATGATTGACAATCCTACGCTTAGAATAGATTGAAAGATATATTGATTAAAATCGACATCTGCTATCTATATATCCAATAATTCAACTTTAAAATGTCTAATTAATTTAGTTTTGTTGTGAGCGTTATAGTTTCGTGCTGGTGCGCGCGCGCGTGCGTGTGTGCGTGCGTGCGCGTGTGTGTGCGTGCGTGCGTGCGTGCGTGCGTGCGTGCGTGTGTGGGGGGAGGGAGGGGTTACGTGCGCGCGCGCGCGTGTCTGTGTGTGTGTGCGTGTCTGAGTTTTTGAAATTCTTAAATGGCAAGGATAACATTTCTATAATCTGTACTTGTGTTGTAAAATGAAGGATAGTATCACTTCAATTATATAGAGTTCGGACTTTTATATGTATGCGTACGTTCGTAATTAAGCTGGTGGTATAAATACACATCAATCATTTTGACATACTGTTCACAATAGTATACCAATGAAAGAAGAGAAATGTTCTATACTTGCCTGCCATTAACGGTTTTTAGTTCCCACGCGCAAGTGACGCAACTTACATCTATCGTCTTCGTAATTCGTGTTTAGCAAATGGCACGAACAGGTACGCGCTCGTGAGCGGGACATGCCCCCCCGACTTACCGTCATATGCAAATAAGCTATGAAAATACAACGTGCCTTCCTGTAATGGGTCGTCCTTGACATCAGAGCTCAGCGAGGGCGTGACCCCTATCTAATTAGATGATCGTGCGTGAGAGCATCTCTCTCCGCGCGCACAACACAATGCGTTCATCATTTTGTTTGCACAGTAACCTGAACAAGCACCTAGCCACGCCTAAACTGTTTGCATTACCTGGATGAAACGCTCCCATATATATAGCACTGTTCCGTTCTTATTTAATCATTAAACGGCATCGACAATTGTGGCCGACTAGACGGCGATAAAGGTTATAGTTTCGGTGTTCAGCCTTCTGCTGCCGCATGCACGTGCGTCCGTGTGACATAACGCATTGCAGAGTGCACGGTATTCATAGAGAATAGCGCATCGCCTCGTCGTTTCACTATCACAGGTTAGTATTGCGACGACACGATTGTGGTTAGCGCTCACCTTTATTTTAAATTTAATAACGAGTTTGTAAGATTAAAAAATTATTCGTACACCTTTATGATGAGTTATTCTATTACAAATCGAGCTCCTGTTTCATATATATATAGTATATATAAAGCAAGATTGAATTAGGTGATGTATATTTATTCCAATTAAAGGACTAAACTTTCGACCAACCGGTCTAGATAACAGAACACTCACAGTTACGTGATTATGATCAAGTCAGAATAGTCAAAAATTGAATTCTTTGCTATAAATATACATCACTTAATTAATTAAATTATGTTTATATTCGGACTACTGTAAATTATTCGAGTCTGTACTGATAAAACATCAGATTTATTATGCCACCATCCCCTTTATTCAATTGACTGTATCTCTCTCCCCTCTCTCTCCCTCTCTCTCTATCTATCTATCTATATATATATATATATATATATATATATATATATAATATATATATATATATATATATATATATATATAATATATATATATATATATATATATATATAATTGACATGTATTTCAGAAAACCAAAGTTACATCAGAGATGCAGTACTTTCGTGTCGGTGTGCGGATACTCGTGGTTCTAGTAAGTTTAACCGTAGATTACATTTTCTATATAGGCATATGACGTTCACTGAAATGATCAGTAATTTTCATGGCGGACACGCGTATATTCACGCGGAAGATATCTACCGCTGGAGATGTTGCGAGCTGGAAAGCAGTCACGACCTGTTTCTCACATCTCTTAATGCAAGTGCTTCGCCTAGCTTCATTATGCCGCTTAAATCCTCAGCATGCATGTTCTTGGTTATGTCGTATGTATTTATCCAAGCGATGCTCAGGATTCAATAACGTAACCGGAACTATAAACGACAGACTATAATTTCGGCTTTAACTACAGATAAAGCTATTACCTTTTAAATTTCCCTTGTATCTTAACTTCGATAAGTGTTGAAAAAAATTAATTTAATTATTTTCTCATTTTTTCATTTAAAGCGATTACGTCACCGTATATAGTAAAAGTAATAAACACATTTCCACTCATTCACAAAATATAAGTAATTCTGTTCACATTTTATGGTTAAATTTCTGCATTATACTTCCTATTTTACTATATTGTTCGATGTAAACATACACTCGTGACTCATACATAGCCCATAGCAAGCAATTAATGTCAGGATCATAATATCAAATCGTCCAGGTTTTTTGGATTTTTAACTAGTTGAGTTGACGATACATTAGTACGTACTTTTAATGTAACAAAATGGCAACAATTTTTTTTATAAATATACACCATAGAAAATTCGTGTCGTAGTCAATTTAATCACATCTTCTGAAACTTAAGCCAAATACATTACCTCGATCTCAGAGTGAGAAACAACCACATGTTCTATATATGTGACATTTCTGCATCAATTTCTTTGATTTACTTTTGCAAACAGGTTGCCTGTGGAAGTTCCTCAGTGGCACAATCCAATAAGGGCTATGGCAACAGCATCGGACCCTCGTTTACTCCATTAAACAGGTATCACCCCTTGAAGGGCTCACCACTGAACAACAGTCCAGGACAACATGGCTTCCCCAACCGGGATGCCACCGTCGTGCAGGTGTGCGTGTTTTCTCCGCTATACGGGAACGGATCCCAACAACGCTATAGCGTCCTGAACCGATACCACAACCAGAAGGGCTCGCCTTTCAACGGGAATCCTGGAAGTGCCAAGTTCCCCACCGGTTTCAACCTTCCATACGCGTAAGCTTTGCTGTTGTTATGCGGTTATGTTGTTTCTATTTCGATATGAGACGATTAATAGGGTTTTATTCCGCGTCATCTATAACTGGCTATTGTTCAATTTTACCTAACACGGCTGTATGCCTATGACAGTGAAATTTCGTCTATATACTGATTCTCATATCTCAAAATTTATTAACTTATAAACAAAAAACATCTCTCGCCGGAAGCGCCGCGGATTTAAAAAGTGTATAGCAGTTGAGTAAATATATTGCCCATCTTCATTACCAACCCAGCCATGCTGATTAGCTCTGCCAGGTCTAGTAATATGCTAGGTACAATTTCGCTCCTTAATCACTGATGAGAACACGGTTTGCAAACACTCTTCTTTTTTTGTTTTTACAGACCAAGTAGTTCTTCTGCATATAAAAATAATGGGGGCTTTGGTGGCCACGGAGGCGGCGGAAATGGTTATGGCGGCCGTGGCCGCCGTGGAGGCGGCGGCCGTGGCGGCCATGGAGGCGGCGGCCGTGGAGGCCATGGAGGCGGCGGATATGGTTATGGTGGCCGTGGCGGACATGGAGGCGGCGGATATGGTGATGGCGGCCGTGGGGGCACATGCGAGAGCGCGCGGGATATGGTGTGATGGCGCGGCCGTGCGGGCCATGGAGGCGGCGGGATATGTGTGATGGCGGCCGTGGGGCCATGGAAGGCGGCGGATATTGGTGATGGCGGCCGTGGGGGCCATGGAGGCGGCGGATATGGTTATGGCGGCCGTGGGGGCCATGGAGGCGGCGGATATGGTTATGGCGACCGTGGGCGGCCATGGAGGCCGGCGGATATGGTTATGGCGGCCGTGGCGCCATGGAGGCGGCGGATATGGTTATGGTGGCCGTGGCGGTCATGAGGCGGCGGAGTATGGTGACGGCGGCCGTTGGGGCCATGCGATGGCGGCAGATATGGTTATTGGCGGCCATGGTGGCACGCCGAGGGGCGCGGATATGGTTATGGTGGCCGTGGCGGTCATGGAGGCGGCGGATATGGTTATGGTGGCCGTGGCGGCAACGGAGGCGGCGGATATAGTCATGGTGGCCGTGGCGGCCACGGAGGCGGCGGATATGGTTATGGTGGTCGTGGCGGCAAGGGAGGCGGCGGATATGGTCATGGTGGCCGTGGCGGCAAGGGAGGCGGCGGATCTGGTTATAATCCCATCATTCTATACTGTGCGACAACAACGACACCAACACCATAGTCCAAATTTATCGTCATATACCGCAAGGATGATATAAACAGATTTGCGTGATAATGCACGGTGCCCTACCATCGCCATAAAATCTATCGCCATATACCGCAAGGGTGTACCGCCGTAGGCGCAGCAAATTTCTAGGGGGGAGGGGCAAGATTTTATGACTCAACTGTGTAATGATGAGCGACGGGCGCAGCCCTTGATCAACGTCCATAGTGTGGTAGGGGGTGGGTCTGAGACATTAAGGCTTTCACGGATAAGTGACCACAAAAATCAGGTTAGGGCTATTTACGATTATTAGCTAAGCTTATTTTGTAATTTTGCTCCAAAATCTAGGGGGCAGCTGCCCTTGCCCCCCACATGCCTAAGACCCTGGCCACCATCACCATAGTCCTAATCTATCGCCATATACCGCAAAGGTGATATAAACAGAGTTGTGTGATAATAATCTCATCAAATCATCTAATCAATTATTTCATCTTGTTAAGAATTGCCACAGGCGAAAGTATTGTCGTTATAATTTGTTATTGTCGTATATTATCGTCGTAATAATATATATACCGCCATCAAACGCCACGCAGCTCAAAATGTATTCATTTGTTTCACGATCTACCACAAACACGGAAGTAATTCATTTCTTAAATGTTGTGTATACTGTCTTACGTAATAAATAATAATTGGTAGTTTTGCGCTCATATGGCGCCTTATGTGCCAATATATGTTACAACTCATCCGTACATAATAACATATAGATGTTTTATATCGTATGATCGCAGTGTTTGTGATGTCGACAAATATTTCACGAGCATTTCAATCGTCATTCACTGAGCGAGATTTTAGAGGGCATTATGGAAGAAAACATCTGTTGTGATGCTAGACCTTTATTAAGTAGCGTTGCATAATATATTTTCAATGTTAACACCATTAATCGCCTCGAGTTGTAACGGTAAACGTTGGCCAGGGCAGCAGTATCCTCGTGAGGCTCTATTGTGAAAACTTCATGAATGACCCCGTGCTAAATTGTATAAAAAAGAAAATATTACGCAAGTATGTGGCCCATGAGGATTGTCTTCCGTGTGTGATTTGTGTCAAGTTAACGTGTGAAGGTTACCAGAAACAAAATCCATTACGATGAGAA